CGGTTTCGGGGAGGGTGGGGGGCCTCCCAACCCCAAAAGTGGCTGTGCTGCAGATGAGGGTGCTGGTACCCAAGCCAGCACACATCTCCCACCCTACAAAGCAAGTCTCAGAACCAGCCCCAGTGACGAGACACCCCCAGACACAACCATACACTAACACCCCCTGGCACCTCCCAAGGAACGGCAACACGTACGATGAAGCTCCCCGACCAGCCCAGGAAAGATCCCGTCCCCCGGTGATTCATGCAAAGTCCTTGGTAGTGCCGCTGGGCAGAGGGTCATGCTGCCCACTCCGGCCCACAGCCAGGCTCCCACAGCTGAAGGGTAGGGGGGTTAAAGCAGGGCCACGCTGCAGCCTCCTTTTAAAGATGTCCCCTTTTCAGGGGTTTTCCCTTCTGGAAGCCACACAAAGGGCAGCACAGCACAAAAGGATGATGGAGCTGGCTGGCATGACCGGGCGGGAAAACCCAGGGAAGCTGCTGGAGGGCTCCACTCTGCAAGGGCAGTGCTGGGGGCAGCTGGGCTGGGGGACAGCCACCAGAAAGGGCACATGGGCAGGAATGGAGCTGTGCCCCATGGACTGCGTGTCCTGGTTCCATGCAACAGCTCTGCCGTTGGTTCCTGTGGGTCCCTGCACCATGGGATGCCCCAGGAGCAGGCCAGCTCTGGCAGGAGCCTGCTGCAGGCTCAGCTAGCAGGACATGGCAAAGGCAGAGGGCTGGTCAGGAGGGGTGCAGAAGCAGGGAGGAATCGCAGGCAGCTCTTGAGCTGCCAGGGTGGTTCCAAACCTCTGGAGTCCACCCCATTTCTGAGAGCTTGTGGCACCCTGGGGACATGTCATGGGCACCTCAGAATTGCAGAAAAGGCAGTGGCATCTCTACACATAGCACTGAAGCTCCCACTCCTTGGTCCAGTCCCACTCCCTGACACCAAACCCTTGCCCTGATGGACATATGAGAGGGACTCAAACCATCCCACACCTCTGCCTTCCTCCTTGTCAGGCAGGTAGAGGCCAGCTGCTCTTCCCAAGCCTTCTGCTAAGTCTGGCTTAACGTGAAGCTGTTGGACACTGAGTGTTATGTATCCAGGATCCAGTGACCACAAGGTGTCAAGAATTGGTGACAACCTACAATGTGGCTGTCAGCTGCTGCCCTGCTCACCCCAATGCTGCAGCACTGGGACAGGATAGGGTGCTGTGCCATGATGGACCACATTGCCCAAGAACTCCAGGTGTCCCCAGGCCAGCCCATGCCTCTCCCAAGAGCAATGCTCACCTTGGCAGTGGGAAGCAGGTGATTCCAGAAAGGGGCCCCCTTGGCATCAGTGCTGCGGCAGGCAGTGGGCACCAGATGGCACGGCAGGACCCTCTTCTTCTTTGCCAGCGGGGACAGGCTCTCATCCTC